CAGTAAACATAGTCACTTCTTGGCATTTGTAACCCCATGCCTGTCAAGTGCACTGCTGGGCACTGCTGGGCTTTTGCCGGAGAGCCACAATTTCAGAAATGACCATTAAGAATTACAGATTTCAGAGATGTGAAGGAAAAGTATTGGCTTGAAATGGTTTCGACATTAAATAAACTTTTAACATCATGCACCGGGCTCCCTTCAATCAGTTCTTGAAATTTAGAGTCCCAGATTTAAGAATGTGTAGTGGTTCTAGAGAGTTCTGAAGTTGGATATACGGAAACCCCAGTCCAAATATTATCTCGTTTTACGCTAGCCGCGGCGCCACCGCACGGCGCGCCCGACGAAATAGCTCATGGATCACTGGGGAAGCACATGGGAGGCGCACCCCACTGTTCGGGGTCTACGCTGGCATAAGTTCTGAAGAAGCACCACACCATACTCAAACTACACACATACGTACGTATTCATCTCACACGATTGGGGAGACTTGGGTTGCGCAGTGCTGCCCAGCACGCACCAGCGGGCTACTTTGCATGGGCCGCGCGTCAGCTGCAGGGGCTGATCACCGTCACTGTCGGCTCTGCGACAAACGGCCCGCGCTCTGGCGGCTTCCGGGGCCCGCCCTGGGACCAAGTTTGCTTAGTGAACACACTGCACGGTGCTTTATGTTGTGAGTTGCTATTCAAGTGAGCGGCTGAGGGAGGGTAATCACTCTTGACTGTTGATCTCAATTGCGGATGCGGCCGAAGTTTTAAGTGCGAGGATGCTCTTTGTTAGGGGTGTCCTCTCCTCAAGGGATGACAATAGGGGCTGGTACGCACAATGGCCTCAGAGCTTGTTTTGAGGAACACGGGTTGTATTGGGATTGGCCAGATGCTTTGGCTTCTTCGTTCTTTTGCAGCAGTTCAACAAAGAAATCCCCCTTCAAATATTCCTTCTCGGGACATAGAAACTATCTTCAAAAGATTCCTGGGCTTCTTCGTTCTTTCGAAATATCTTGATATGGAAATGCCTTGAAAGGGTCCTTTGATTTCTTCGTTCTTTCGTGATATCTTGATATATAGAAATCGTCTTCACGAATTCCTTGGATCTCTTTATTCTTTCCAATAATCTTGATATCCCTCAAGGGTTCCAGACTTCGTCGTTCTGTTGTACCATCTTGACATGGAAATTCTCTTCAATATTTCCGTATACGATTCGAGTTGAGATGGCAGTGGTGGCTGTCAGCTTTGGGTTTTTGACTGCGAGCACTTGCTCCACCTGTTGGAGCAGGTGTGGGCAGCCAGAGGTTTGTTTTGATTGCGAACACGTGGTCCAACGTTTGGAGCAGGTGTGGGAAATTCGTAGGTTTCTTGGACCGGACCAAGTGCTCGCAATCAAAACAAACCTAAGGCTGCCCGCACTTGCTCCAACAGTTGGACCAAGTGTCGCAATCAAAACGAACCTCAGGGGGGGCCCGCGAAGGCGCGCAAAGGCAGTAAACGCGTCAGCGCGTGTGCGCGCAGGACGCTCCCGTGGGGGCGGTTCGGGGTCTCTGGGCGGTCGAACCAAAACCTGGCCTGGCAATTTCTTGGCAAGCCGTTGAGTTTTGAGGGTTGCAAACGATCCATTACTGTAGCACCTCAAGAAGCACCCTTCAAAAGCCGCACGTGCGAGAAAAAAGATGCAGCAAGCTGACCCTATAGAGCTGCACCAAACAGTGGGGAGAGCAAGGAAGGATTCGGGAACGAGGCGAGAGAAGAGGCAGAGTGCACTGCAACCTTTTTCGACCACAATCGATTCTAATTAAAGTCACTTTCGCAAAAATCGGAGGTGCACACCAGGTGCACTGAGGTCAGCACCATGGACATCAACCAGAACCGGGTGTTTTGATTGAAGCTCCTGTGCTCAACAACTTTGAGGTGACTGCAGCGCGCGGCGCCAATTCCTGAAATGCGCTTCCTGAGCATCTTGTAAGCCTTCCCACGCCGCGACGAACCCTGCTGTTGTTCGTCGACACGACAAGCCTGACCTGGATGTAAATCTGCAAAACCGTCTTTTGAGCATAGTGGCTCTTCCGGCCACATCCAGCTGCACCACCCAGAAACATGAACACAGGTAGGAATTGGGCCCGCGGCACAGATTCGACTTGCTCAGATCGGTACCCTGGCATGAGAGGCTTTCAGGACCTCATGACGCTCAGCAAGCGTACCCCGAACATGCGGCCAGAACCCCAACCCCCTCCAAGGCCGACTTTCCGCGACCACCTGACAAGCCACAGTAAGCTGGCACTCGGAAGCCTGGTCCACCTGCTCAAGCGAAACTAAACTCCAGCCCAGCTCCGCTAGTTTTCGTGATTGCACCGGCAGGCCCTTATTCTCTCAGGAGCGCAGCACTCTGGGCACAAACGCTTTGCAGAACTTTCGGATCAGGTTGCTGGTCCCGACGGCACCTGGCCCATGCAGCCAACGCCGCAAGGCAAATGCCAGAGGGGTATGCGAAGCGTTGCCTCAGCAGAAAGAACACGGATTGAGCGCATCCCTAAACCCTAAACCCTAAACCCTGAACCCTAAACCCTAAACCCTATGTCTGGAGGCATCTGAGCAGGGTCAGCGGATCGTTCAAGTATGCCGCGTCCAGTTGACGGGACATGTTGCAGCCAATGCAGTGTTTAGGGGTTCAGTGTCCAGGGTATCCCAAACCCGCAACCCTAAACCTCGGACTTGCTGAGATCTTGTGCTTGTCTTGGTCATCTCAGATCAGCTGAGACATGCAAAGGCTCTTCGACATTGACGAGTTCAAGGTTTGGGGTTGAGTTGTGGCTGAGGGCTGGGGGTTTAAAGCCCTAAACCCTAAACCCTGAAAGGGACCCTTTAGGGTTTGGTGTAGGGTTAGGGCTCAGGGAAGTCAGGGTTTAGGGTGATCTGAGGGTCAAACTGCAACCCTGAACCCTCAACCGAGCGTTGAGGGCGTGGGGTTTAGGGGTCAGGGTGTTAGCAGTACCATGGCCCCTTCTTCCCTTACAGTTCGGGGGCTCAGGGTTTTGGCAACGGTTTTGCGCAGTCGGGGACTTTTAACGGTCACCGCGGCTACACAGATGTCTGCAAGCTTCTGCACCTGACGCTGCGGTCGTCTCTCAAACAATAACATCTCTGAAACCTGCGGCAACCAAACTGCCGCAACGTGGTGTTTGTGCAAGCCGCTGGCAACACGGCTCAAAACGATACAACAACGGCCAATTCGGGCTTGTGTGTGGGGGGGGGGGGGGGGGTACCCAAACTCAAATCCTAGACCCTAGATCCTAAACCCTAATTCCCTAAATGGTCTGGTATGACAAGGGCTGCCAGACATGTCGGGTCGGCTTCAGGTTGTTCAGGTAGTAGCTATAATTATACGCCTTTGAGGGTTTAGGGGGTGCAGGGTTCACTGTAGGGTTTGTGTTCGGGATTTAGCCTTCCAGAGCTTCAGGGTTCTAGGGCTTTGGAGTGTTCAGATTCTGTGGCCACAGTACTGCCAGCAGCTACAGGTTACAGGGGATTGTTTGCAGCAGGGCTTTGGAGCCCGCGTCGCAAAAATGGGTCGAGAAATCGAAAGCCTTATAGGGGAGGGTTCCGAAAAACAGGGGTACTCTTACACCAACAAACGCTCTACTCCTTTTTCAAGGGGTACCCCTGCTTTCAGAAACCCCCCCCCCAAATATGAAGGCATTTAAAACAGGGCCGGGCTCACAGCGAGCGCGCAGCGTGTCTGGGATCTCATGCTTCTGACGCTTTAACTTGTTGATCGTCGCTGCTGCGTCCTGTGGGCCGTCCCCATCCTTCGACTTTACCCAGTCTCTAGGCACCTAAACCCTAGACACCCGGAATTCACGAAAGTGCCCCGATGTCAACTCCCCAACACTAAGGGTGCTTAGGGTTTAAGATTTGGGGGCTTCCCCCCCCCCCCCCGCCCCCCGCCCCAGCAACCTTTCATGTAGGGACCCTGAAGAAGGGACTCCCCTTCGTGGGATTGGAAGGCTCGCGTTCCGCTTTGCTGTACAGGGACTGCGATACCTTCGGGCCGGTGCTTCTTCCGGCTCTGCCTCTCAGGCTTTAACTATACTCCCCTTAGAACCTCAATCAAACTATTATTTTTCACATCTTGTTGGGTTGTATATAAACAAAAATAAATAATTCCCAAGGGGGCATAGAGTTAAGCCTCCTTGTCGGAGTCTGGCAACTGCAGCCGGAGTTTCATCTGCTCAGGGGTCACAAACACCCTGGCTGAGCCAGACGCCAATCTGACAGGAGCGAGGGTTTGGGATTGAGGCTTGAGGGTTGAGGGTCTTTCTGTGGTCTTAGAGGGTTCAAAATTTCGGACAGTGTACGGTGTTGAGCGTTGAGGTTCAGTAATTCCAGGAAGTTGGTTTTAGGATTTGCCTATACTCCTAAACAAGGTCCGCGCAAAAGCCAGAAAGGAAAATACAAATCTCCCAAGGGCACAACCCTGCCCCTAAAGCGAACCGCGTAGGGTTTAGGGCTTAGGCTTTAGGGCGACACCCTACACCCTCAGCCCCCAAAGCCCGTAGGAGCTGGGTGCCTGTGAGTGTTCTCAATCATGGCGCGGTTGTCCTGGACCGAGCTTCCCGCAACCCCAACACCAAAAATCCGAAACTTAAAAAATTGACCTACACCCTCAACTCTCAACCCAGGGCAGCGGTCAATTCTCAAAAACATCAACACCTAACCCTAAACCCTCAACCTCAAGGCCCAGGGCAACGGCTTCAGTCCCTTCGAGCTCAAAACGGCTACTATAGGAGCCTTAATAATTGGAATATATACTTGTTTTTTCTCTTTTGGGGGGGTTAGTACAGTATAATAGTATAGGGGCCATAGTGGAAGACGATTAGAAATTATTCCGACCTCCAGAAGTACAAAACTTTCGGAACGTCTCCTCGAAGAGCTTGAAGAGCGCCAATCGCCGCTCCACCTCCGTTGAGGGTTTTATGGTTTTAGGGTTTTGGGTTTAGGGCTGGGCGTTGATGGGAGGGTTTAGGGTTTAGGGTTGAGGGATCAGGGTTTAGGGTTGCTTCTGGTATTCGCCTAGCTGACTGCAACGGTTTCGGGATCAGGGTTTAGGGCTTGGGATTTAGGGATGAGGGTCTTTGCAGCACCATCTCCGAAGAGCGAATACTGGGTGCTGAGGGATTAAGGGATCAGTGTTAGGGTTTAGGTTTCGGATTTCGGGATCGGGGTTTAGGGTTTGGGGTTCGGGGTCTCAGACCCTAAGCCGATAACTTGGTTTCAGGGTTTCTACGGCTTCTTATGGCCGGGACGAAATGGTGGTTCAACAGAGGTTATGCTGCATGGGGGTTCCTGCCTGCTTTCTGGGGACATCGACCTCAACGCAACCCACACTAAAACCCTACACCCTAAACCCGAAGGCCCTGGGAAAAACGAGCGAAGTGCATCCGAGTTGCAATCTTCACAACCGCTGTTGGGGGAGTGGGTGCTTTCGGAAGCTAAGGGTGGACTAGGTTTTTAGGGAGTCGAGGGGCTTGGGGAGTTCGATCACTGAACGCGCTGCGCCCTGGGGGCTATATACGGTGACCCCAAGTTTAGGAAGAACTATACTGCCAGGGCTGCTTTGCCCCGTCTAAGGCCTTATAGGGTCTAGGCCCCCGCAAGAATGTTGCTGGCCCGGCCTCTGGCACAGTGTCGTTGAGCGTTGCGAGGAAGGTTCTCACCTAGCAGAAGAGTTCCCCAAACTGGAAACCACTTAAACCCCACTTAAACCTACAACTTGGGGTGGGGCTTAGGGCCGAGGCTCCAGGCCGCGAGCCTCCAGGTGCCTTACTGAGAGTCCCCATTCCCCAAAGCCCCCCTCGGAATTCCCTTGTAGATCCTAGAACCCTAAATCCTAGAACCCTAAAGAAGCCTGCTCCGCCAGCTGCACCCCTTGCGATTGCCCAGCGATGGAGGCATTCTTGTGCCTGGGCGCGTGGGAGGAAGTTGGAGTTTAGGGTCGGGAGTTTTAGGGTTTAGGGGCAAGGATGCTCCGCAAAGGTTCCCCGGAACTAAAAGCAATTGCGGGCGTAGAATTCCACGCTGATACCTGGGTTAAGTTAGTGTCGGCTGACATTGATTGCACGAGGAACATCTAAACCATGTCCCTTTCATGTCTGCCTGACCTCATCTCGCTATGAACATGAGCGCTTGCGGCTAGCTCCTTCAGCCAACATTCAGATGTTTAGAAGCGGCCTATGGTTGTGGTAGGAGGCACCTGGGTAGTTTAACTTGAGGCGGGGTTGATACACTTCGAGTTGCCGAAGCTTGAGGGTAACCTTTCTCATTCTCGTCTCTCCTCTATCTCTTCTTGATTCCTTTTCACCGAAGATAGATTCCAATTCATTTGTCGTCCTTCTTTCCTCAAGACACGCCACGAAGAAAGAGGTTCTTGCACTTAGGCTTTCTGAGGTTTAGGGTTTTCTAGTGTTCTTCGAACACAAAACCCTACAGCAAACCCCAAACTCTAACACCCCAAACCCTCAGCCCTAACACCCAAAAAACCCCTGCAAAACCAAAACCCCTTTTTGGATCGGGTCGGGACAACATGAGACTACAGACGCTGAAGCGCACACTTTTTGCTCGGAATGTTGCCCCCTCCAGCTGCTCCCGGCTCTAGGAATAAGAGGGTTCAGGGTTTACAGGGGTTAGGGGTTAGAGGTTAGGGGTAGGGGTCAGGGTTTTTGGGTTCAGGGTTTTTCGGGTTTAAGGGTTTTAAGGGTTTTAAGGGTTTAAGGGTTTAAGGGTTTTAAGGGCTTAAGGGCTTAAGGGTTTAAGGGTTTAGGGCTTTGGGTTCCACGTTTGAGGGCTTCGACTCTCTCACTCGCACGAGGCAGGCAAGGATAGGGTTTGAGGGTTTAGGGCTTTAGGGTTTGGGTTCATCGTGCCTCAAGGGTGCAGTCTCTGGACTTCTCTACATTATGGTCCCTGTTTGGGTGTCCGAAATCATAGGGGCCGCCTTAGAACAAGGACCCCAAAAGGGACCATGCTTTAGAGAAGTGACCACTTAGGGTTTAGGGTTTTTGTGGGTTTCGAGGGGGTAGGATGGCAAAGCCGAGGTGCTCATTCTCGGCCCTGACCTCAATGAGTTTGGTCCTCTGATGCTCCAGCTCGATTTGTGCCAACATCCTCTCACGCTCGACCTTGTTGGATCAGGAGAGCTCGCCCCCCCCCCCCCCGCCCCCAAGACCTCCCAAGCACTACTCAAGACGAGCCAAGACCAGAGACAGCCAAATTCATGTTCCTTCTCTTGGCTTCTGCCGGACTCAACTGCCTTCGACTTCAGCTACAAAGCTTGTCAGCGATTGTCGTGCCCTCACGGCCCCACTTTTTCGGGTTTGCATTGTGGGCGCAGGGCCCTCTCAATTGCCGTCCCCAAGCCGTCTTGGGGGGGTCCAAGGTTGAAGGCCCCTTGCCTGCCTCTCGGCTGTTTAAGGCTCTCTGCGTTTAGACGGTTGTTGGGGTGGGCCGTTAAGGGGCTCACAAGGAAGTCGGCAGGCCCTGCAGGTCCTCCCAAGGTCTCCCTGAAGGGGCCGCACGTAGATTGCACGATTGTCGCCCGCAGAAGAAGAGGGGTTGTGGGCGGGTTTAGGGTTTGGGGTTTGGGGTTCGGGGGTTTGGGGTTTAGGGTTTAGGGATCAGGTACCCACGGCCTGGTTCTCCGACTCTTGCTTCTTCAGGCGGTTGATTGTGTTCGTCCTCAGCTTGTCGCGCTTGGGGCTTAGGATTTGGGGTGGGTTTAGGGTTTGTAGGGTTTAGGGAAAGAAACATAGAACCCTAAGCTCTAAACTCTGAACCTCAAACTCCCATGCCTGAAACGCACCCCCAGAAGCCCTAAAACCTTTCAAGCCTTAGAATAAAGCCCTCGACATTTAAGGACTCAGGGTTTAGGGTTTAGTGACTTAGGGTGTTGGGTCCAGGGTTTGTTGGAATTGTACAAGGTTTGGGTCCGGAAGATTTGGAGTGGCAAAGGGACCTAAACCACAAAGCCCTCGACTGGGGCCCCAATTCCTTCGCAGGGTTTAGGGCTTTTGGGCTTAGGGCTATAGAGTTGAGTTGCTTCTTTCTTGTGGCTTGCATGCGCTCCCAGTATTCCACACGTAAAGATTCCTCCGTTCGACAAAGTAACCCACATCAGAAACCGATCATCTGCATACTCCAGATCGAACGTGGGTTTACCAAAACACCAAGGGTTTGTTTGGCGGGACCCTGCATGGACCTAAGCCGCATCTCGACGTCGTGAAGAAGCACCGTCGCATTCCATCATGAAAAGAAAAGGTGTGGACTAAATGGGGCATCCCTGCCTTAAACCTGTGCGGACCTGCGGACCCTGCCCCAACTTTTGTCTGCGAGGTCTGGATTCGTGTAGCTTTCCTCGATGATTTGTACGTAGTGCTCGTGAAATCCCAGCCGTCGCAGCGCGATGGCCATGGACTCATGAGCGCTTGTTTCCAGTCTAAGAACAAAGATGTGGGCCTGCTGCCAGGTTTTTTTTCGGAGTAGTGGACAAAGTCCTGCAAGCCTTGCCAGAAGGGTGCTTTGATTTTGTCCACATTCAAATTCTTGTGTGGCGCGTAGTGTGCTGGGTGACTTCCTTTAGGAATGGGAGCATCGGTAAAGCAATAATGGCTGAGACCCTGTCATATAATATGTCTCCGGTATTACCATTCATTATGGTTAAAGTGAGAACCCTGTGACATAAATAATGGTACGAGCTGTTGTGAGTTTCGGTTCGGACCGAAACGTCCAATGCCCGACCCCGTGTAAGAGAAAGTATTTCCTCCTGCTGCAGCAAATCGGATATGCCCTGAACATGTTGTGTACCCAGCCTGAGCTCGGTACCATATGCTACAGGCGGAGTAGTCAAGCTTGGTTTGAGTCTTGCTTGTTGAGTGGGGTGGTGCGTTTAGCGAGTGTTTAAGCCGCCTACCCTCGGCACGTGCCCATGGTGCTCGTCATGCCTCCAGGAGGCGGTGAGGGCTTGGCAGATGTCGCTCATGACTTCGAATGATGGGTGTTCGGTCGGCAGGCGCGGCGCTTGCCGGGAAAAGTACGTAGACGCTGACACATGGGATAAGAACATTCTTTTTGGTGTAAGAGAGTTTTGGGTTCTTCGGGCCTTAGGGTACCCTGAACCCTGGTGTTTTTTGAGCCCAGACTTCTCTCCTCGCAGCTGCGAGGCTACCCTAAAAACCCTAAACCCTAAACCCATTGGGGCACTTAAGGGGCTTAGAAGTGGGTTATAAGTACCATGAACCTCCAAACATACCCTTTAAACAATTGAACAAATCGGGGCCCAGGTCTCGTCTCTTGGTTCACCTCTTGGAGCGTCTTCTCAGTAAGCGGGTCGCTGCAGGTGTAGCCGGTAACTTCCACGCGGTGGACGCGGGTGCCGCGCATGTCGTAAAACCTGGGCGCGAGAAGCCGAGGCTTTATTGTCTTAGGTTGAGGGTCGGTTTTATAGGGTAGTGGTTTTAGGGGTTGAGGCGGTTTAGGTGTTGGAGAATTGGAGATGGGTGAGGGGGCAGTAGCTCAGGGGCCAGGAATTGTTCAAGGAAATCGCCCTCAAGCCCGAAACTCTATACCCATGATAAGAAGTCCGAATAGCCCCTAAGGCCCAAGTACTCTCCAGCCGAAGCCCGGCTTTAAGGTTTAGGATTCAGGGGTTTAAGGTTTAGGGTTTAGCGTTCAGGGACTAACGCTTTTGGGTCGATCTACTGTAAGGTTTAGGTCGTTTCCAGGGCATTTAGGGATAGAAGAAGCTGAACACGTTCGACAAAACGCTCCAAAAGAACGACGAGGACGAGACGCCACCCGTGCTAAACCCTAAACCTTCAGCTCTAAGCCCCCTTCTATAGACGGCCCTTTTTTGAACCCAGTCCCTACGCGTACACGGCCCTAAGCCCTAAACCCTAAACCGCAAATTTGAGAAATTCAGGGATTGAGGCGTTGGGGGTATGTGATGGTCTGAGCGACTCCATGTCTTCGGCTGTGGCGTTCTTGACCAGGTTGTTGAAGGCTTCCATGAACTCAGCCAGGTTGACCTGGCGTTTTTTACAGGCTGAGGTTTAGGATAGTGTCGGGTTTGGGTGTTGTTTTAGGGTTTAGGGTTTAGGGCTACCAGAGTGCGAAACCCTAAATCGAATCGCCAACGCCGATAGGGACTTTCGGGAGGGTTTGCCCAAATCTTCCCTCTCAGCCAAGAGCTCGAAGCTTGAAAGGGTTTAGGGCTTAGGGGTTAGGATTCAGGGTTTCGGGGTTTGAAGGGGACGCCCTACTCACAAAACCCTAAAACCCGACGCCCGCAAGTCCGCCCTTCGCCCACCTTCGACACCACCTGATTGAGGACGTGTCGGGTATTTTTCCACACGTCACCCTTCGGGTCTTTTGTGTTTGCAAACCTCAGCAGCTTGGTTTCGGGCTTCGGGGCGTAAGGTTTGAGTTTTTGGTGTTTGGGGTGTAGGGTTTAGGGTTGAGGGTTCAAGGTGACGTTAGGGCGAGCTTTTCGGGGTATGGACGGTATGCTTTGGTGCTTTTTCCGGCGGCAAGCACTGGAAGGGCTCAACGGACAAGGTTTCACCATCTTACAGGAGGCCACTTGAAACAACTCGAAACCCCCCTTAACCCAGCTCCGCCACCCTAGCACCCCTCAACCCTAGAAGCCCTCAACCCTAAACCCCCTTTTTTGCATCTGGCCTGCTGTGACTCTGCCCTGAAACCCCCTAAGATCCTGAACCCCGAATTCCTTGCCGCGGAGGTCTAGGGTTTAGGGCTTTCGGGTGGGAGGGAGCACTTCGGTCTTCGGCTGGGGGCATCTTTGGAACGTCCACCACCTGCCAGAAGATGTGGCCTTCGAGGTTGAGCTTCACCTCCAGGGGGGGGTTTTCGAGGTCTTGGTGCGGCTTAGGGAGGGGTTTTGAAAAGGACTTAGAGGGGTCGAAGTCGCAAGGGTTGAGAGGGTTTAGGGGGCCCCCTAAACCCTAAACCAAGGGTCTTAGAGGCTAAAGGCTTCCGGGTCTTCTGCTCCCTAAATGCCCCGAAGCCCCTTTAATGGTTTAGGGTTAGGTTTCAGGTCCCCCACAGCATACATGAGCGCCAGAAACCTGTTTCGGGCTTAGGGTTTAGGGCTGCAAAGACCCCTAAAACCCTCAACCCCTCCCAGGCCTTTCAACAACTCAGATCCTTGTCCGAAAGGGTTCAGGGTTGGATTCAGGTCCCGAGCCCTAAATCCTCTGCGGCTTGAAGCCCCAAAGTCCCACACCCGAAGCCCTTAGCGACGTCCCAGCTGCATTGTCGGATGTCTGCACGGTGAACTTGAACTCTGCGTCCTGCGCCAGCGGGGGAGGTCGGAGACGCCGAAAGTACCAAGGAGTTGAAGAGGTTTAGAGTGGTTTAGGGTTGTTCAGGGTTTAGGGTTTGAAGGTTTTAGGACTTTGGGGGTTTCGTGTCCAGGGCTTGGAGTGTAAGGCTTATGTGCTTTCGGGCCTAGTTGAGGTTTAACGTTTCCAGGTGGTTGTACAGTTTGGCGCTGAGGGCTCTTTGGATTCATGTAGGCTACAGGGGGCTTAGGGAGCCCCTAAACCCGAAAACGGCTACCTATGGAAAAATCTAGCTGGCCTGGCTTGGAGGGCTCTTTCTTGACCCTCAACCCGAAACCTCTAAACCCAACATCTGCGACCTGCCAGCGGGTGTCGATGCTCTCAACATCCACTAAGTACTCCGGCCTGGCAAGAATCTGGGGCCATATGTGCGATCAGCCTCACGAGCCTCCTGCTAAGTTGATAGGCGCCAGTCATCACTGGTCAAAGCATGCAGAAGGAAAGGGGAAAATTGCTGTTGGGACATCACGTCACGAGGCAGGAGATACTCCATCTCAGCATGGGACAATAGAAGCCTGCGGCTTGGCTTTGGCACATCTCTATATGTATTGCTCATCGTCCCCTATAAGGTATGGGCTTCTCCTTCTCCCTTGCACCTTAAACCTTAAAGCCTTAAAGCAAGCTTTCACGATGAGCTATCCGCACATGGTCAGTTCTCTGATCTCCCATCATTTTGCGCACTGGCCATGCGGATTCAACTCTAGAACTGTGACAACAAGGTCTGCACTGAAGCCGAGACTTCCAGACTGCTTGCGACCCTAAACCCTAAACCCTAAACCCTAAACCCTGAACCTCCAAAAGCCCTAAACCCCAAAACCGAAGATCCTCAGCGCAAGGGCCTGGCAGCGTTCTTCACCCGGCCGGCTTGCAGGTCGTCAGGGGATGTGCCAGAGCTCCACCTTCTCAGGGTTTTGGGTTCGGGTTTAAGGTTTAGGGTTTAGGGTTTAGGGTTTAGGGTCTAGAGGGTCACTGTTCTAGCATTCATAGTCATTAGGGGGTTCCAGGCTTAGAAAAAACCCACCCGCCCAAAGAATCCCATAACATTAAGAAAATATATAATGTTTCCTCCGAGGACTTGCCTTAATCGACGAAGGACTTGCCTTTTTCGACGAAGGGCTTGCCTTTTTCGACGAAGGACTTTTCGACGAAGGACTTGGCTTATTCGACGAAGGACTTGGCTTATTCGACGAAGGACTTGGCTTATTCGACGAAGGACTTGGCTTGTTAGACGAAGGACTTGGCTTATTCGACGAAGGACTTGGCTTATTCGACGAGGACTTGGCTTCTTCGACGAAAGACTTGGCTTATTCGACGAAGGACTTGGCTTAATCGACGAATGTCGGAGAGTGGCCAGGATCCGGCCCTTCGTCGAATAAGCCAAGTCCTTCGTCGAATAAGCCAAGTCCTTCGTCGAACAAGCCAAGTCCTTCGTCGATTAAGGCAAATGAGCAAGGATTGCCTTATTCGACGAAGGACTTGGCTTATTCGACGAAGGACTTGGCTTATTCGACGAAGGACCTGGCTTATTCGACGAAGGGCTTGGCTTATTCGACGAAGTCATTAGGGTTTAAATAAATAAATAAATAAATAAAAATATATATATATATATATATATGAAGAGAGGTTTAGGGTTTAGGTTTTATGGTTTAGGGTTTGGGGTTTAGGGATCCTTAAGGTTTGGGATTTGGGGATTTGGGGCTTCAAGCCAGCAGGTTGGGGGGGGGGGGGGGGGGGTGTCTTCGAGCTTTCAGGGCGACTCGACCCAAGAGCAACCTAGGAACAAGCAAGGGCGCCCTTTTTGGTTTACAAGGGGTGTATAATTAAGGGGAACTGAACCCCCAAAATAATGAGGCCTACTCTGGGTCCTAGTAGGGTTGAAGCATGTTTTCAGAACCCGGGTACCAAGAAAAGTCCATGATTTAGATCGGACCCTCATGTCGCCTCATCGCGTTGATCTGCTCATAGGGCTGCAGGAAGAAGGACACCCCGGCATCACCGCCACTGATGAACCTTGGAAGTCACTGGGGGTTTACGAGAACCAGGGGCCCTACTACAGACCCTCTACATGAACTTAGAACCCCAACTGTACAACTGTGTGGGGAAAAAGGCCCTGGAGCGTTTTCCGAAAGGGTTCCGGGAGCGCGGTTCCGGAATGATATAAAGTTTTTGCCATGTGCACCTCTGCGAGGAATCGTCCTGGCACCGTGGATGCGCTGCAGACGATGAAAAAGCTGTGCGTTCTGCTGTTGGGGATGCTTGCTGGGATTATTTGAGGGCCCCGAAAAGGCGTAACCCTCCCCCCACACACACCACAAGCTGGCAGCTGTCAACCAAAAGTGTCGTGTCCAGCCACTTGTTCATTCAAGCAGCTTCTTCGTACCGTCTCTGGTGGTGATGATGTACCTTACTTGCCCTGTTCCTTTAAGGCAACACTGGGGTCTTCACCATCTTGAGTGGGCTGCGCAGAGACGTCCTAATGAGAGGAAAGGTGCACGTGGTGAGGGTCCACCTTGATGATTTGTCTTGCCTCGATGCGATCATCATCCTCGCCGGGGATGAATGGGCCCTTCTCCTCGCAGGTGGCTACGGGTGAGCAACGAACAAGAAGCGACAGACGAAGCCATGAGATCCCCTAAACCCTAAACCCTAAACCCGAAACCCTAAACTCTCAGCAACTCCCCCGACTCCGTCACGAGACGCCACTGGTCCGAACCAGTCGTCCGCGAGCTGACAACAACAGCCGTCTCGTCGTCGACGTGCACAGCTGCCTCGATCCCCCTGGGACAGGACCTCACATGAAGTAGGGTATATAATGGTATATAATGGTATATAAGGGTATATTTTCTTGTACCACCAAAAGGACACCAAGTATATACACTGACCAATATCAAAAAGGAACCTTATATACACTCACCAAAAACAGTAATATAAACCCTGCTTCACATCACATGGGCGAAAGGCTGTGCGGCGGAGGAAAGGTATCAGCTCAAGGGCACGATCTGCAGCTGGGAAGCTCCAAAGGCCGTGGGAAAACCAGCTGCTCCCCCTTCTCCACGCGCACGCCGCCATTGTCGTTAAAGAGCCGCACATACCTAGGTGGGCTGTTTAGTCAAATAGCCTCTTCAATGCTACATAAGGGGACATACAAAACGAATACAAAACGGTCTAGATATGTCTAGATACTCATCCTTCTTGAGGTTGAATCCCGCCCTTGTCTCCATGACATGGTCCTCTGGCCCAGGGAAGAAGAGCTTCTCCCCTTTCTCAATGCGCTCCTGGCCATCCTTGTTTCTCACCCGCACGAACTGCTCCCGTGACAGGCTGATGCCCGTGCCCTTCTTCTCAACTTCCTCGGTGGGTTCGGGAACAAGGACTCGTGGCCCAGTGACAACCCTCCGGTCGCCAGTGCGCTTCTGCAGGAGCTTCACGTACTCATGGCTCTGCAGCACAAGCTTCCGAGTCTTCTCAGAAACCGAGTCGTAAGCACCGGGGAAATAGAGCTTCGGACCCAGCTGCGTGGTCATGGCCCCAGAAATTTGGTCGGTGACTGTGACATACCACTCGTCCTCCAGCACGAGCGCCGGCCGTCTCTGTGCCTTTGCCAGAAATGGTATGAAGAAGGCCGTTGCAGGACCATTGATCACAATCTTGTCAGACGGATACCTTGCGAAAGCAAATGCCCCAGTTTCAGCACAAACCTTCTCCTTTAAACGCTCTGGTATTTTTAAGGGTAAGAATTTTAAGAAGGCTCTTTTTTGGGGGGTCGAAGTTAAGATTCATGGCTCCTACAGCCCCCCCCCCCCCTCAAAAAAAAAAAAAAAACAATAAACAAAAATTAGAAAAATTAGAAAAAACATGAAAAAGCCCAAACCATCAGTCTGGGCGCTGGAGCAGGAGTTGCTCATCCCTTCTCAAGAAGGCTACTGGCCCCATCGTGTGGCCTGCCAGGCTTATGAGGCCAAGCACCAGGACGACCAGCAAGATGCAGGCGACGGGGACCAGAATACGAGTAGAAAGGCCCTCCGGGAGCGCTGTTTCAAGGGTTTTATGGTTTAGGGTTTAGGGTTTAGGGTTTTCCCCGCCCTGAAGATCAACACCTCGGAACATAACTGCTCGCGGATGGGCTGTAAAGGCTTAGATGGTTTAGAGCTTAGGGCTTAGTAGCTTCGGCGGTTTACTATGAGGGTTGGTGCATGGCCGCGTCTTGCCTGGGACACCGGATCCTCTTGCGAGAAGAGGTTGACAAACCTTAGGGGCTGCATACCCTAGCCCAAAACAAGGTTCACCTTCTGTTTGTAATAGGGTTATTGTATAACCAAAACAATTCAAGGCCAACTACTCGGCCCCTAAGAAACGGTGCTTCCTCGTGGTCGTGCCCAATTAAATTCCTGGTGTGCGGCGCTGCCTCCATGGATGGCAAGTGGGCCCACGACCCGCCCGAGACTCACAACAAAGAAGGCTTTGAGCCAAAGGCTTGAGTTAGGGTTTAGGGTTTAGGGTTTAGGGTTCAGGGTTCAGGGTTCAGGTTTTTTTTTTTAGGGTTTAGGGTCTAGGGTCTAGGGTTTAGGGTTTAGGGTTGCGCTCACAGTTCCCATTAGCACATCGTGCAACATGAGGTTTTCCCACCCAAGTCTAGAGAAAAGAACGGCTTTCCTAAGCTTTCCCATGAAACTATAGAGAATTAGCTTCAGGGACACGAGCCAAACCCTAAAAACAAATGCCCAATTTACAAAACCCCTAAACAAGTCCTTCTGAACCCCCCTCTACCCCACCCTGAAGCCCTGAACCCTCAACCCTGATGCCTCATCTTCGCCTTCTCAGCAAACTGCCAGAATTCGCGGACACGCCTGAACCCTTGGTGAGGGGGTCGGCGGCACTAGCGGTGGCCATTGAATGTTCGCTTCATCTGCGCTTTCATTTCCGCTTGGTGCGCTCCTCATGTGTTTATCATGTCCGTTTCCGGGTTTGTTCCCGCTTCAGTCCCGCTTGTGCTCCATGTCCAGTTTCGCTCTCTCTCTCCCTCTCCTATATATAGTCCCCTTAGAACCTTAACCAAAATGTGTAATATCCTCTTGGCTTTCTATTTAACAGAACTAAAGAAGTAATTCCAAGGCGGATATAGTCTCTCGGCCGTTGCATCCAGAGTTCATGTCTGCTTGATTTTTTCCTTCAGCTCCGCTTCATTTGTGTCTCGATTCTGCTTCATGTCCGCGTCACTTCCGTCTTATGTCCACCCCTAAACCCTAAACCCTAAACCCTAAACCCTAAACCCTAAACCCACTTCATTTCTGCCTAAAATCAGTGAACAGAAATGCCCACCTTCGTTTCCATGTCTCCCTTCGTCTCTCTTTCTTTTTCCGCCCCCCAATGCCGAATTGACTCCGCTGCCTCTTTAAACTTCAGACACTGAAACAATAGGAACCCTTTCAATCGTTTCAGAAAATGTTGATGTTATATGTATAAACATGCTTTCGTATAAGCCACGATAAAAATATTCAATCATGGAGTAGTCAAACAGACAACAGTTCACTCACCTTTTCAAGCTCGGGGGTGCGAAGTGAGTCCATATCATACCTCAACTGCACGCAGCACGCACAGACGTTTCATGGATCGTGATCCTTCCAATGCGTACCACTGCATGCAAGGGGCACAGCTATCTCAACCTCCAACCCCGGGTCATTTGTTCCAGTCGGAAATCTTTGTTGACCGAGCGCGGCGAGTGCACATGCGGATGGCTTGCCAGATGTTGAGTACCTTTGTCCCTGGACTGCGATAAGGACTGCAAGCTCTTGTGGGAAGGTCTTTCATACGCGGTAGACACGTCTTGTCTATGCAACCGTTACAAGCCACTTGCACTTGCAAAAGCCAGGCGTCGAGACGCAGCGAGGCAAGCGTTGGCAATGGGGAAAGTGCACAAGCGGCGTCTCTGTGTGCGCTATTTGCCTGGCCTTGGCATCCCAGATTCACATTCTCCAGGCACAACGCGGCTCAGTTGAGCCCCAGCCTTTACGACTTTACGCTTGCAAGGCCAGGCCTCCATGGCTTCCGCGAGGACGTGCACTCATGCCACTGCGGGAACACGGGGCGCAAGGGCATGCAAGGGCCTTGGACGTAGGTCAATTTCAAGTTCGGGGTGTTGGGTTTCGGCTGTGGTGCGCGCAGCACTGGCACGCCATGCCAGGGACGTGGCGCGCCGCGGCTTGCGATGCAACATGGTCATCGTCTGCCAAGAACATGGTGCCCAACGGGGCACCACCTAGCTGACCTAGCTCATCCTAGCTTTTACTGGGACACCCACCGTGCACAGCCGGCACAGCCGGAAAAACCGCACGGCGAGTAATGCTGGCGACGTGGTCTCCCTAAGTCCCCTTGTTTGGCAATTTGGATCGTGTACCATGAAATCCTGGCTATGCCCACAACACATGCACCTCCTCGCGTGGTGCACCGCGGCACTGCCCTGCATCTCTCGTGCAGACATCAGGAGCTGTCGTCTGCTGAAGTGGCATGTGCCGTGAGAATTGGCGCTCTGATTCTTGTGAACCTGCTCGAAGATCTCATGCTCGAAGACTTCATGTCAGGATGCACAACGACCTAAACAAAGACATGCGTGCAGTCAGCTGGCGCAGAAAAGGGCATCTGTAAATGACTGCTGTTCTCTTTCTCGTCGCACTGTATGATGCACAGAAGCGTAGTGACCTAGCTTGGCAGCGAAGCAACATCGCATTTGGGGAGGCAGCCCGTGTGTCCAAGCAGCCTGCAATTTGTGGATTTGGAGCCTTCAGAAGTCTCCTCTGCTTCAGGTGAGCTGCGCTTATGGCTGGAAGTGTGACGGGACGTGCAATCTGGCAGAGAATCTCCCCCTATGCCAAGTTACTTCCCTGCGTGGCAAGGAGCGACAGCACTTCCACGAAAAGTTGCGCGGCAATAGTACCTAGCACCGACTATGGCGCTCGCGGAACTTTCAGAGCCTCGCACCCAAGGCACGTGATGTGGAAAGATTGAAAAAGAAAACGAGCCCTGGACGGAACTCTCCCCCGCCTCGACTGAGGCGACTGCCTCAAGCTATGCGACAGCATACCTGTGCGCTTTAAAGGCAAACTTAACTACCTGTCACACGTTCGTAGGTGTACTATTCCTGCACTCTCCGTATCTTCTGTTCGTTGCCAAGTATGCAGTGCATGAGGCAATGCCCTCCGGCTAGAACTTCCGAGAGACAAGAAGCAAAGCATGCCTTCGAGCCCTCATCCCGCAAAACTTGCAGCACAAGGGCAGGAAGAACGCATGGGACGGCGAAGGCCCGAAATATCTTCGCATGCAGAAGCGATGATTGCAGAAGCGAGACACTGGCACTGCAAGAGCCGGAAAGACACCCCTCCGAGAACGAAGCAAAGAATGGAAGTTAAAAGCGCGCAGCAGGTGCCGGGGCACTGCCGGCTCTAGGCCTATGGCCACCTGGCCCAAGCCATGGCTACTTGTGCCACGGCAAAGTGCACGGAGCGCGAGAGCTCTTGCAGTGCAGGGGGCCCAAGGGCCGCGACAGAAGCGGAGCCTGAGCGGCGACGTCGCAACCCGTGCCTGCACGGGCCTGTCAGGCCGCCACGTGTGCAAAGCGGTGGGGCGGGCACATTTCACAGTCCGGGCTCCACGAGCTTCGCGGGAAGAGTGCTGTAATGCTGGGAGAGCAGTACTTAACTCAAAGCGGACGCGGAGCGATTTCATGCTATGAAACAAACTTCCTCTGATGAGTGGCACGCGGCACGGACCACGATTGCGGTTTTAACGATGCTTGCTTCCTCTGCGACGACTTTGCATGACTCATGGCAACCCGCTTTCGGCCGGGCCCGACTTGAAATACGAAGCCCAAAACTAAAACTCGAAAGCAGGCCCTAAGCCCTGAAGGTTTTTAAGCCCTCATGTAGGCTGGGGCCCAAGGATTATTCGGAGGAACCTTGCGGGGGGGGGGGGGGGCTGGGGCGGCTGGAGTGTGCTTCTTTTGAAGCTTTACATGCCATGACTAGACCTGCGCATGCGCCTCATCGAAGCGGACCATGGCGGGCTCGGGGCCCAAGCACGATCACTTTGCTCAGCAAGACCCTGTACCGGAGCTGCACCCTTGTTGGGTTTTCCCCACCGCTCAGGCGGTGCGGCTGTTCCATGGCTGCAACATCCCGAGACGCGCCGAGGATCGCCAAGGCTGTGCGGATGGCAGGCTTTGCCACCTTCGCCGGCTTGTGAAGCTGGGGGATATTTAAGAAGGTGGAGTCTTGGTGCAGTCTTCCGCCGCCTCGTGGCAGTCTAGATGCAGAGCCATGAGGCCTCGGACCCTCATTTGACCAGGATTCCGACTTTTATCGCCTTCGCGAAGGCGCCTTCGCTCGCACAAACTGCGTCTCGGCAGTGATGAGCCACTTCAGCAGCAACAGCTGGGTTCCGGGAACTCAAATCGAGATGTCCACCTGAGGCCCCAACAAAGACCCCCAAGACAGACTGGGCATCACTGTTCGCATCGCTGGCATTCAAAGTGCAGGGACAAGCCAAGGGGAGCAGAATCTTGTGGCAGATGTATGAGACCTTCTGGGACCTTCGGCCTTGGGCTCTCAAGGCTTTGAGGGATTCTTTGGCGCTGCTCCGTGAGCTTCCTTGTAAGGGGCCTAAAGAGGCCTTGTAAGGGGGCCGCAGAAAGATTCCACTGAACTCCCAGGCTGTGCCGGCACCTGGCCCGCAAGCCACGGAAGGAGTCCGATCACTGGATTGGTATGAGGTGAATGAGGTGCCGAACCTTCCCTCGCTGTCGGCATTAGGCCATTGCCAGGGTTCGACATGAAGACCCGAAGTTCCATGGGGCCAGAAGCTTCAAGTGCAAAGCATGCCGCGTGCAGATGCGCACACGCCACCAAGGCCCTCAGGACCAGGCGCCCCTTGTTCCTTCACACACACACTGAAGTCGCACGGCTAGATGCATCCCTCAAGATCACGGCTCACACACATTAGCAGCATGAGCGGAGCCCTGCAGTCTACCTCCCTGCAAGCTTGGCGCGTCTACGAGCGCCAGTGGCACGCCTTTGGGCACAGCACTCCGCACGCGAGCGTGCGGCTGAGGTGCTGGCGCACCAGTCACCGCATGCCAGCCTTGCAGAATTGAGTATCAGTGTCGATTAAGACCAGAAAAGAGTCACAGCTGCTGGTGGAGCTGCACCGCGGAGCATCACGCCCAAGTGGCGCTGCTTAGAACCCAGCAACATTTCCCTTCTTGTGAATGCAAGTCGCAAGGTAACGGTCTGACGTAAAAAGGAATGCCGCGAGCGCAGCAGGGGGAGTCCATGATGAGGAGAAGATGTCCTGGCGAACGCTTAGATTAAGCTAGCAGAAGGCTAGAGGCCATGGCACGCAGAGGCAGAGGGCTGAGCAAAA